TGCGAAACTCACCCTTCCCCTCCCCCTCTTGCTTCGAAGATGACAGTGAACTACAAGAGTTCTGGTAGAGAGGGAAAAATTCAATGAGCCCGTAAGGAGGTCGGTTCTTGCAGGCCAGTGACTCTCAAAGTTCACTGACGCCATCGTAAACGTGGTGAATAAGCTGATTACCCCTCGACAATGCGACGATTAATCTTTTTCACTGTTCCTCGTTTATAATCGTCTAACCTTTCCTCTTTTGCATTATCGTTTGAGAACGCGGTCGCTAAACTTTTCCATTTAATAATTCGCTCGAAAGCACCTTTCTCCGTACGTTTGAAATCTTCACGGAAGGAAACGCCTAACTACCATTAGAAACCAAGAGAATTGGGCTAATTAGAAATCAAGACCAGTGAAAGATGGAATTTAAAATTGTAAACGCGCGCTATGACCCACGAGAAATATTCAGTTTTTCTACAGTCTACACTTAATTTTTTTCTATCCTCGAGTAATGCGGAATTATATATGTACATAAATCGAACGGTATATTCAACGCCCAAACAACGAAGCATGTCGCTCCTCGTCGGTGAATCATCTTCCGTTTGACCTTGTGCCACACACAAGAGACGTTTACAACAACGCCCTAGAGGGAGCCAAGTCTGGCCCTAACCGGCATCCCCCGTCGTGCCAGAATATCGACCGAGGAATTGCATCCTCCATCCACTGGCTGTCCTCCAACCACGTTACACTTTTCGTCAGACCCTTTCGCACCCCAATCGACCCTTACGTTCGTTATGCCAAGTTAGACAAAGCTTTGACCGTTCCGTTCGAATGTATTTACAATGGAACGCCATCACCAATCAGCAAAATCTGACGTGACTAATCTTATCAGTAATGTATAACAGCTGTGAGAAATAACGAGACGGAGTAAATTTATCCGAATCGTCGTCATCGTTCGTATTATTTATTTCGGCGAATAACAAATTTCAAACGAATACGTAGGAACGGTTTAACATAATCTGGCAAAGTATCCGCTTCAACTTCAAATATCGAATTACGAGACTAATTTTAGCGATTTTGCAATTCCTTGTTTATAGCCCTGAACCTGTTTGTTTTGTCGCGATTACTCGCGTTCCCGTCTCCGAAAGATATTCGAGGACTCACCCACAATTTCGACTAGACTTTCGAACCCGAACGCGTCGATCCTAGGCGAAAGCTGTTTCAAAAATAACTATCCCACTTTGAACTTTTCACTACGTGCATGTCGCCCATTTGTGGCGTTACCTTCCTTTCCCCTATCTCATTTTCTCTCCCCTTTACTCTCCCCTGTTCGTTTTACCCGTTCACCGGAACTTTCGTCCAGGCGCCGTATTGTGGTTGTATTTCATGAATTTCTACGAAGCATGGAAGGAACACGTAGCCGGACGAATCTCCGTACCGTGTGGCACGTGCCCGAGAGCGAAAGATAACTTTAGAAATGGACGTCGGATCTCTTTTAGCATCGGATTCGTGCGTGGGAAGACTTTATTTTCGGTACGTCCCCTACGTTTGTCCGCGAAATAAGCTTAAACGGCCAGACTAACGCGACCCGCGTAATACTGATAGCGCCGATAATACTGGCCCTCCTCGTCATTCAACCACTTCGTCATATGTATGGAAAAAATCCTATTGTATGTTCGCACAATGCTCAGAAAAAAAGATTGTTCTTATCTAGGAGTGGTATGGTAAAGGTCGGGAGAGGAGGGCGGCATCAGCGATAGCTGATATGCCAACCACAAAAAATATGAATGCAGTTCTAATCTAATCATTTAAGTATTTCGATTGCAATTAGGTGAGAAACATTCGTCGCATTTAAAATGCTAAGGAAATTTTATATCGCGCAATACGTGTTACAAATCGTGTAAAGTAATTGCAGGTATCTTGTCGCCGATATCAGTTTCAACAGGTGCGATTAAGTTGAGTCCTTATGCAACGTCATTTACTATCGTACATTGGTGACTCATCTTTGCAATATCAGCGATTTGTTCTTCTCTTCAAATACACATTGCATCGAAAGAATGATAAATCAACTTCTCGATTATAATTCTTAAGAGAGGAATATGCGCGTCTGAGAAATTTGCTTAATAATTGTCATTCCTTTGTTTAGGCATCCGGAGTAACAGTGGCCGACGTTTGTAAGACGACGTACGAGGAGATTAAAAAAGACAAAAAGCATCGATATGTAATCTTTTACATTAAGGATGAGAAGCAAATTGATGTCGAAGTGATTGGGCCTCGCGACGCAGCTTACGACGCGTTCCTCGAAGATTTGCAAAAGGGTGGTAGCGGAGAATGTCGCTACGGCCTCTTCGATTTTGAATACACTCATCAGTGTCAGGGTACATCCGAGGTAATGTTTCTGATTTAGAGTATACATGATAATGAAAATTGATCGGCGAGTCGTTTAATCGAAATTAATTTTTGTTCTAGGCTTCCAAGAAACAAAAATTGTTTTTGATGTCGTGGTGTCCCGACACGGCTAAAGTTAAGAAGAAGATGTTGTATTCCAGTTCTTTTGATGCTTTGAAAAAGTCCTTAGTAGGTGTGCAAAAGTACATACAGGCAACAGACCTTTCAGAGGCTTCCGAAGAAGCTGTCGAAGAGAAGCTCCGAGCCACCGACAGGAATTAGGAGTATTTCAGCGAATCCAAAATTATTAATATTAATGAGAGAAATCAAGTGAAAAACAGTACGCAAATTCCCTTCCCCAAAATAATGCTCTAAACCGTCGCCGCATCGAACGTTCACGTTTTTACACATTTTTCACGTTCAAACGAAAACGATTACTAAGTATTTGCGCTACATGTATTAGTCATTGGGGAGCGTAAACATTAGCAGAAAAGGAACGTAAAACAAACAAAAAATATATAAAGAAAAAAAACAC